GTGTTGGAATTTTGATGGGGACTGAATTGAATCTGTAGATTGTTTTTGGTAGGATAGTCATTTTTGTAGTAGGAGGGGCGGGCTGCTTCCCGCCACCCAGTTTCCGGCTGCAGGCTAGCTTTTCCCAAAATAATTACACGGAAACTGTATTCTTTTAAGCACTGCTTGGCCCATTAGCTCTAGCCTCTTATTGGCTAACTCTCACATCTTGATTAGTCCATTTCTAATAATCTGTGTAGCACCGCGAGGTGGTAGCTTACCAGGAAGGATCTTAACCTGCGTCCATCTTGGAGAGGAGAGCTATGGCGTCTGACTGACTCGGCTTCTTTCTCCCAGCATTCTGTTCTGTCTACTCCGCCTACCTAATTTTCTGTCCTATTAAAGGGCCAAGGCAGTTTCTTTATTTAACCAATGAAATCAACACAAAACAGAAGACTCTCCCATATCAATTTTTACTGTGTTAATCCTACTGATCTATGAACATGAGAAACCTTTCCATCTTTGCATGTCTTCTTCAATTTCTTTCTTCAAATACTTGAAGTTTTTGTCATACAAGTTTTTCACTTGCTTGGTGAGAGTTATATTCTGTGCGGCTGTTGTGAAAGGTGTTATGTCCCTGATTCTTTCTCAGACCTCTTGTCATTTGAGTCTAAGAGGGTATGGTTATTTGAATGTAATTGGCCCCCAATCTCAGGGAGTAGTCCTACTAGGAGGTGTGGCTTTGTCGGAGTGGTTATGGCCCTGTTGGAGGAAGTGTGATGCTGTGGGAACAGACTTTGAGGTTTCTTATGCTCAAAATACTGCCCAGTGAGTCATGCAACTTCCTGTTGCCTGCAAAATATAGGACTCAGCTATTTCTTCAATACCACTTCTGCCTGCACACTGCCATGTTCCCACCATGATGATAGTGGACTGAACCTCAAGATTGTAAGCAAGCTACCTAATTTAAATATTTGCCTTTATAAGAGTTGTGAGGGCTGGAGAGATGGCTCAGAGGACAATAGTACTGACTGCTCTTCTAGAGCTCTTGAGTTCACTTGTCAGCAAGCACATGGTAGGTAGTTCACAACAATCTATAATGAGATCTGGTGCCTTCTTCCAGAATGCAGGCATACATGCAGGCAGAACACTGTATACAGAATAAATAATATTATTATACATAATAAATAAATAATTATTTTAAAATTTTTAAGATTTATTTATTATGTTTACAGTGTTCTGTCTACATGTATCTCTGCATGCTGGAAGAGGGAACCAGATCTCATTACGGATGGTTGTGAGCCTATAATAACAATAAAAACCCTAACCAAGACAGAAGTTGGTGCTACGGACTGGGGTATTATTGTGATAAGCCTGACCATGTGTGTGTTTGGAGGAATGTGGACTTTGGTACTTTGGTTTATGAAAGCAGTGGAATGCTTTAAGTACCCCTTAATGGGCAGCATGGTAGACAGACGTGTATGGGGACTCACTCAAGAGGTTTCAGAGGGGAAGAGTTTTAGAATGTTGCCTAGAGATATTTTGCTAAAGAAAGTGTCTGCCTTTTGCCCTTGTGCAAAGGATCTGCCTAAGGCTGAAGTAAATAATTTTGATTGATTCCATTGGCAGAAGAAATCTCAAAACACCCTAGTATAGTTTCTGTCGTGTGTATACTAGTGTTCATGTTTATAAAGATTTATAATGAGGGGGCTGGTGAGGTGGCTCAGAGATTAAGAGCACTGGCTACTCTTCCAAAGGTTTTGTGTTCAATTCCCAGAAACCGCATGGTGGCCCACAACCATCTATAATGAGATTTGGTGCCCTCTTCTGGCATGTAGGTATATATGTGGTAGTTTTTTGTTTTTGTATTTTTGGTTTTTCGAGACAGGGTTTCTCTGTGTATCTCGGACTGTCCTGGAACTCATTCTGTCGACCAGGCTGGCCTCAAACTCACAGAGATTCACCTGCCTCTGCCTCCCTGAGTGCTGGAATTAAAGGTGTGCACCACCATTGCCTGGCTTCCTGAATGTGGTAGTTTTAATGTCTCTTCACAGAAATAAAAACCGTAACTAAGACAGAAGACTACTGATCTTTTTGAATTAATCTTGAATCCAGTCATTTTGCTAAAGGTGTTTATCAGTTGTAGGAGGTCCCTGGTAGAAATTTTGGGTCACTTAAGTATACCATCCTTAAAAAGTTTGACTTCTTTCCAATTTGTATCCCCTTGATCCCCTCCAGTTGTCTTATTGCTCTAGCTAGAACTTCAAGTACTATGTAGAATAGATATGGAGAATGGACAGCCTTGTCTGGTTGCTGATTTTAGTGGAATTGCTTTGAGTTTCTCTCCATTTAACTTGATGGTGGCTATAGGCTTGTTGTAAATTGCCTTTATTATGTTTAGGTATGTCCCCTTTATCCCCCCTTTATCCCTAGTCTGTCTAAGTCTTTTTTAATATTTATTTATTTATTATGTATATAATATTTTGTCTGTGTGTATGCCTGCAGGCCAGAAGAGGGCACCAGACCCCATTACAAATGGTTGTGAGCCACCATGTGGTTGCTGGGAATTGAACTCAGGACCTTTGGAAGAGCAGGCAATGCTCTTAACCTCTGAGCCATCTCCCCAGCCCCATGTCTGAGTCTTTTATCATGAAGAGGTGTTGGATTTTGTGGAAGGCATTTTCAGCATCTAATGAGATGATCATGTGGATTACATTGACTGATTTTCAAATGTTGAACCATCCCTGCATTCCTGGGATGAAGCCTACTTCATCACGGTGAATGATCTTTTTGATATGTTCTTAGATTTGGTTTCTGGGTACTTTGTTGAATATCTTTGCATTTATATCCATAAGGAAAATTGGTATGTAATTCTTTATCTGTTGAATTTTTGTGTGCTATGGGTATCAGGGTAACTGTAGCCTTATAAATTGAATTTGGCATTGTTCCTTCTGTTTCTATTTTGTGGAATAATTTGAGGAGTATTGGTGTTAACTCTTCTTTGAAAGTCTGGTAGAATTCTGTGCTTAAAAAGTCCAGTCTGGCCCTGGGCTTTTCTTTTTTGGTTGGGAGATTTAATGACTGCTTCTATTTCCCTAGGAGTTAAGGTCTATTTCAATTGCTTATCTGATCTTGATTTAACTTTGGTAATTGGTATCTATCAGGGAAATGATCCATTTCTTTTAGAATTTCTAATTTGTGGAGTACAGGTTTTTGAAGTATGACCTAATGATTCTTTGGATTTCCTCCATTCTGTTGTTATATCTCACCTTTTCATTTCTGAGTTTGTTAATTTGGATGGTCTCCCTCTGTCTATTAGTTATTTTGGATAAGGATTTGTCTATTTTGCTGATTTTCTCAAAGAACCAAGGAAATAAACCATTTTACCTTTGGATTGTGTGGTTATTTTCATGAGACTCCCCACCCAGACCTGTTTCTAACACCCACCCACACACACACCATTCCTGTATAGTTTATAACTGTTTACGGATTTTCTCCTTTCTTAGATATAAACCTGCATTTCTAGGAATGTCACCAGAAACCCCAATTTTCAAGGAAAAGACATATGCTAAACCCCAAGTGTCACCCTAGTGTTTTCTGATTTCATTTGATCAGGTTGTAATCCCACCCAAGGCCTTTTAAAGCCACCCGAAGATCTCATTCACCAAACGAGAAAGAAAGGGAATAAAAAGGCCTCTTACAACCTTTTAAAACATAACAGAGCCATCCAGCCGGGATACATGGCTGGTGCCTAATGACAGCTCTCTCTCCTGGACCCCAGAGCCATACTTGAGAGTACAGCTTACCTTCTTTCTCTCATCACCTCTCTTTATCCTAAACCTTCCGCTTCGAGTTTATGTTATGATATTACTAGTGAAATATCCAACCGTATGCCAGCGGTGGTGGTGGCACATTCTTTTAATTCCAGCACTTGGAAGACAGAGGATCTCTGTGAGTTCGAGGCCAGCCTGGTCTATAGAGTAAGTTCCAGGGCAGCCAGGGCTACACAGTGAAACCCTGTCTCAGCGTCTAGTCTAGAAACGTTTCCAGAGGGTGAATGCTCCTCATGGGCAGGTCTCGGTCAGAGCCAAGGGCACTCGCCCCCCTTTGGTCTCTTCAGGTAGCCAAGGCAGAGGAGGAAGTGTTTTATACAAATAAAGCCGCATGAAGCACACGCAATCACCATGAAGTGCCTAAGACAGCCATGCTACAAAATCTGCCCCAGCAAGCAAGGCTGGGGGCACAGAAAGTGCATCCTGTTCCAATCCGCCTTGACTGTTATGGCGGGGAGCTTAGAGAAGTGCGCGCAGGCAAATGTGTGCTGTTTTCCGATTTAAAAATAAAAAAAACCACAATAAGACGTTAAAAAGAAAAACTGGCTGAGAATCCCAAGGGCAGAGCTCTGAGTCCCAGGGAAAGCTTTCCCCAGGCCTTGGACTCTTAACAAGAGCATAAAACAGGGCATAAAACCGACTCTAAACCAGCTCCTTCCTTGTATTTTCTTCATTGCCCTACCTACCTTTAGCAAGTGACCCCCACTCACCCTCTACTAGTCCCAGCAGGCACGTTGGGACCGTTTAGTTTCTAGAACTGTGCTGAAGGGCAGTACTCGCTGGTTACTGGTGGGGACTCTTACCCACACATAGCCCCACCAGAGGAGGTAGCTGATGGCATTGTGGACTTTGATGAGATGGTGACGTGTCAGTCTCGATGATAAGACTTCGTGTTTTTGCGTGTGCACTGCAACAGAACGAACCTGGAAAATTCTGGGATGCGGTGAATGTTCCTTGGCCCCACTCCCCCAAGAGCGTACTTCTGCCGAAGCCCGAGAAGAGGGTCTGAGGAGAAAACTTTCTCCAGGGCGGACTGCCTCCCATGGACCTAGGTTTTCAGCACACTTGCTCAGCTCCGCGAGGTCAGGATGGGCGAGGGATGGAGTTCCCTAGAGGCAGTTTGCCAGTGTAGGCGGTTGTCTGCACGTGCTTTCTGTTCTGTCTGGAACCCAGAGGCAGGCCGGCCAGATGCGGGGCACCAGGGCCCAGCAATTGGGTCTGGGCTGGAGCGGAGCCTGCCTTCTGGCTGTTCTTCTCTGTTTCAGCTTCTTGCCACTCCATGCCCAGGACTACACGCCCCTGCAAAGAGCACCACTCACTGTGGGTGTCTGGCCCATCCCCAAAGGCCCCCAAGCCCAGCAGAATGGTAAGTGTCCAGAAGAGGAGACAGATGGGGGGGGCATGTCTCCTCCCTTTCCCTCGGAACATAGGCGGTTGGGAGGCTTTGCAGGCCTTTACACTGAAGGTGAAAATTTGGAGGTGGGGGGGTCTATACCGGATACCCACAGCCTCTGCTGATTCTTTCCCATTGATCTCTGGACCCCTCAGTTCAGGGTCAAGGCCATGCACGAGGCTATACTATGCTCTTCCTTGGGTTGAGACGGGAGGGCACACCCATCCAAAGACAATAATGGCCTCTGTCAGCCACGGTTTCTGCCTCTTCAGAGCTGTGCTCCTCACATTAGTAAAGTCTGAGGAGAGAGCCTGGCGTCATGCTCCTCTTTGCCAGCACCTCTCTTCTGTTGACCCTTCTTGACTCTCAGCCTGACACCTCCCACCCCCATCCCTGCCATCCAAGAGGCTCTTTGTTAGCATGAACTATGCCATTCCACTCTTGACCTTGGCTATGGCCACCTGAAAATGGAGAAGAGAGGCCATCGTGTCCCCTGAGTCCCGCTGATGCTGACATTTGGGGCACCAAGCACATGCATCCTGAATGCAGGTGCCTGGCGGCTGGGATTGTCTCCACAGTATGTGGCAGGACCAATTTCCAAGGGAAGATCTATGGCGGTCAGATGGCCAGTTCTGAGCGGTGGCCGTGGCAGGCCAGTCTGCTCTTTCACGGCAGTCATATCTGTGGAGCCGTTCTCATCGACAAAAACTGGGTAGCCGGTGCTGCCCACTGCTTCCAAAGGTGCGTGTTCCCTCCCCGGGGCCCTTCTGCTGGGAAGGGGGTGCAGGAGAGAGTCACTAGGAGGGAAGGAGAGGGGTGAAGGACGCAGAGCTGACAGTCCTTCTAGGCTGGGTTCTGGAATAGCTTGCTGCCAATGGGAGTCCTCTGCACTGTTGCCCTGCCCTTGCATGGTGCCCGCCACCTGCCTTGCCATCCCTCAATAAGGAGAGGCCCAGAGCTAGGAAACATATTTTTCCTTTTAGGTATTCCTAGAAGCTCTGAGAAAAACAATTCTCACGCAGCCCTGAGAGGGATCTGGTCAGGGCTGGAAGTGAGCAGTCTTTCTGCCTCCAAGATGAAGCAGTTGGATGCACCTCAAATAGTTTTTAACGGGAATGAAATCCACAGCTCCTTGGATACTAGGGTATGCTGGAGAAGTGATTGGAAGCCTCCAAAAGGACCAAAGTCCTCAGGCTGCTGGAGGTCATCTGCCCTTCAAGAGAAGGACCATCCCAGTATCAGGAGGGGAGGACCATGATGGGACATGCAACATGGCTGCCTGTAGGGTGGGTAATTCACGTGACACTGTCAACTGTCAGCAGCTGTCACACTCAGAGGTGCTGCCCTCCAATAGGTCCCGAAAACCATCTGACTACCGGATTCTGCTAGGGTACAACCAGCTGGGCAGTCCCACCAACTCCAGCCGGCAGATGACGGTGAATAAGCTCATCTTGCACGAGAACTATAACAAGTTCCACCATCAGGGGAATGACATTGCTCTGATCCAGCTGCACAGGCCTGTGGCGTACAGCTCCTCCATCTTCCCGGCCTGCGTCCCAGAGAATACCACGAAGGTGTTTCAAGCTAGGTCCTGCTGGATAAGCGGCTGGGGGATGCTCAGAGAGGATAGTGAGTACACAGGGCAGGTGAAGAGGGTGAGGGGCAAGAGACCGTGGAGGCCTTTCCTGTGGTTCAGATCAGAAGTGCGGGCTCTTTGATTCCAGAGCTCTAAGTGCGGTTGACTCTGTGCACTGCAAGGCACAGAGAACCAAACAGTGGTTGTTCTACCCTGGCCAGGAAAGACATGAGGTATCCTTAAGAGGATGAGAGTGGCCAGGCATGGGGTAGGTTTTAGTGTTTAACTGGGAGCCATTCAACTCTGAGAACCTTACTGTCCAACCCTTAAGGCCAGAGCAGACTGGTTCTGATGCACAGATCTGGTCACTTGGGGACCAAAAGCCTGAGTGTTGGGGACTGACATTCTCCTTGTCCTTATTCCCTAAACAATACAGTATTGCTAGTCTCTATATTGCATTTGCCTTGTGTCAGATAGTGTTTCAGATAGAGATGATTTCAAGTGTATGGGTTTTCTGCATACAAGGGAATTCAGTGTCTTTGGAGTTTGGTATGCTGGACCACAGGAAGAGCCTACTATCAGCAAGGGAAGCTGTTGATGTTTAGATTGGGAATACAGAGTTCCTAGGCAGTGATTTTACACAGGATGCTGTAGATGGAAGTTTCTGTCCCTCCTGGTCCCACAACCATTCATTCCCATAGAAACACACAAAGACTTATATTAATTATAATATTAATATAAACCTATTGCTCGGGCTTATTATTAAATAGCTCTTACATAATTCTTGTCCATGTTTAGCCACGAGACTTGGTACCTTTTCTCAGTAAGGCATTCTCATCTTACGTTCTCTGCATTTGGCTGGTAACTCTCTGCCTTTCTACTTCCTAGCATCCTCTTAGTCTGGTCACCTGCTTGGCTACTGGCCAATCTGTATTTTATTAAACTAATATGAGTGACAAATCTTACCGTATACAAGAGCATTATCCCATAGCAGAATGCTTTTTTTTTTAAAAAAAAAAAAGATTTATTTATTTATTTATTTCTTATGTATACAACATTCTGCCTCCATGTATGCCGGCATGCCAGAAGAGGGCGCCAGATCTCATTACAGATGGTGGTAAGCCTCCATGTTGTTGCTGGGAATTGAACTCAGGACCTCTGAAAGAGCAGCTAGTGCTCTTAACCACCGAGCCATCTCTCCAGCCCAGCAGAATGCTTTTAATTTAAGACAATATAATGACAAGTTAAATAAATATAAATTTGACATGAAACTTAGGGTCACAATCTGGCAAAGCAGCTCCAAGGAGGTTTACAGTCAGATGTTTCTCTGGGATTGGGATCAGTTTCACAGTCTGTCCCGAGAACAGTGGCTTAGCAGAACTAGAAGGGACAGACTTTCACTCTCTAAGGGCCCATGTCAGGGTAGGTAGGGTCTTCAGTCCTGGCCAAGCGATGGGAGTAAGAGCACAGAAGGAAGGTGTGGGCTGGGGCAGCTCTCAGAGCAGAGAACCTGGCCTCCCTAAGAGACCAAACTGTCAGCCATCTTCTGTCATGTCCCTGCTGATCACGGTTGCTGGGCCTCTGGGCAGGTTTGGGTTTGCTACACACAGGCAGCCCCTGACCAACCTTGAGGGATGTGCACGGTGACCTACGCAAGAAGTGAGCCGTGCTGTTGTCGGTCTGCACCTATGAGGCGACCCCAGGCCAGATCTGTGAGAGCACTTGGAAGCAGAGTTCACATCTCCAGGTCCAGTTGCTCCTTGTGATTGGCCAGTCTTCTTGTCGTGGTCCTAAACATTTCTGCTCTGAGTCCTATGCCAGGGTTGCACTTGGGCTCCAGCATCCCTGCATCAGACTCCAGCATCCCTGCCCTCAGGCTCCAGCATCCCTGCACCAGACTCCAGCATCCCTGCCCTCAGGCTCCAGCATCCCTGCACCAGACTCCAGCATCCCTGCACTCAGACTTCAGCATCCCTGCACCAGACTCCAGCATCCCTGCACTCAGACTCTAGCATCCCTGCACCAGACTCCAGCATCCCTGCACCCAGCTTGGGCTCCACAGAGCAGCCAGAGCTGTTGGAAAGCTAAATTGCCCTTTCCTTGACTTCTGTGCCCTTGGGTACAGTCTCAGTTCCCTAACCTGCTGAGGAAGCTCTGCCTGAGGTCCTCATGCTGAGACCTTTGCAGTCACTCTGACTTCCAGCTTGTCCCTGTCTTCCATAGCCCCACTGCTTGCTCTGGAATGCCACTTCCACTGGTCATCACATGCCTGTCATGAGCCCTTCCCTGCCACTGTGGCCTAGAGTGACTGCCTCAGGAAAGGGAGCTGACATCTTCCCTCAGCTGCCTCTTACAGCTGAACCCTTCTCCCACAGAGTTCCTGCCATCACCTTTCCCTCTGCAGGAAGCAGAGGTCTCCCTCATTGATAACAAGGAATGCGAAACCTTCTTCCATACTTCAGAAATCATCGGTCAATATAATGTTATAAAAGATGATATGATATGTGCTGGGGACGTGAAGAACGGAAAATCCATCTGCCTAGTAAGCGACCATGGCGCCAACACTGCAGCTGAGCTCAGCCATCTCTCTAACCCCGGCCAGCAGGCCACCGCGTGTGTTTTTAGTGGCTTCCTCTCCCGTGTGGGTGGTGGGACAGATGCCAGATGTTCAGCTGTTCTAGTTGCCATCCACATACTAAAAATCTGTGGTTGCCCCAGGTAGGTGCTGTACAAGGTCCCTCTGCAACTGTATTAAGTAGAATTCTATGATCCTGCCTCAAAGATACCGACTAGAGAGGACTCCTATGCTTTAAATAAAAGCAAACAAACAAAAATATGCCTCCATGGACCCAAAGGGCACCACTCAAGATAGCTGTAGAGACCTCTGGTCCCCAGCAAGTCCTTTCTAGCTTGGGCAATGTGTGTTCCTTCCTTCCTGAACCTATCAGCTATGTCTTCTCTCTCCTCAGGGAGATACTGGTGGTCCCCTTGTCTGCTCACTGAATGGCTCCTGGTATGTGGTAGGCCTGGGCAGCTGGAGAGCAGCATGTCTAGAGCCAATTTCCAGCCCCAACATCTTCACCAAAGTCTCCTACTATTCCAACTGGATCAAGAAGAAAAAGGAAGAGACACCGGACGCCGACCCCTTCTCGGCACCCGCTGACGAGAACGCACCCACTCTGGTCGGCTGGAGGAGTTACAACACTGTCATTATTCTCAAACCCAGTGTCTGCAGAGCCCTCCTCTCTTCTCAAGTCCTCCTCCTGCAGTCGATCTGGTTCCAGATTCCGTGATGGCGCTACAGAGCCATGCCGGCTCTCAAGATCTAGCAATCTTTTCACTGATACCACTTTCAATGTTTCCATCTGTGGGCTCATCTGCCTAGCTGAGGCTATCCCTGCTCCAGGCCTGACAGAATAAAACAGCTGAAGAAATTTCTGGATTCTTCTTCTTTTGTCTCATTAGCACAACCCCCCCCCCAGTGTCCCACCAGGCTTCCAGTTTTTCAATATCATAAGGCTACGTCCTCTCTGGGTGGGAACAGTAGTTGAGACAGCCAGGGAGCTGGCCTACCAGTGTAGGAACTGACTGTCTCCCAGCTGGCTTCCAGAGGTACAGTCCACCCCTGCCCCTAAGGCTGTGTGTTATTTCAGAAGAATGAGCCACTGTATTGGGCCAAGCCCTCACTATGTTGCCTTGTGTTCCTGGAGCAAGCCCCAGCTCAGGCATGAGGGGCGTCTTGCAAGCCCAAAGTCAAACAGTGCTTCTAGAGAGTTTGACAGCGAGCAGTGAGGGTCTCCGAGGTCTGACATCTCAATAGTAACCCTCAAAGTTCTTCTGCAAGGGCAGCAATCTCCCTAATAGTCTACCTCCAAACTCCACCCCTTGTCTGATAAGCCCCGCCCATAGTCCTTGCTTCAGCCTGCATTGGTGGCAGACCTGGGAATGACTGGCTTAGCCCTGAGCTGCCCTGCAGACCTCTGAGTCACCACATCCTACTCAGTCTGTCTGGGAGCTCACTAGGGCTCCACAGCACAGTCTCCACCCTCCAACATGAACTGGAGACAAGGGAGCCACTGGGCTCTTTGCAGACCCATGATGCCCTGGGAGAAATCCAGGGGCTTTGAGAAATCCTTCCCAAGCCTGTTAGAATACCCCAGGCCCTTCCCAGCAGGTGGGAACAAAACAGCTCTTGTGTGCACCACCAGCATGCTATGCCCACTTGCAGACCCTCTGCTGCAATGCCAAGATTCCCAGTGTGCACCCTGCCCCTTCCTCCCTCTCTGCAGGTCCATCCCTCCTTCCCTCCTTCCTTCCTTTTCTTCTGTGCCTAGCGTGGGCTCTGGCTCTCTTCCTGGGTTTCCATCACTGGGACAAGACAGCTGAGGAATCCGTGTGTAAAGCAGCAAGGCAGCTAATTTGGATCATAGTTTCTAAAGTCTCCGCCCTTGGTGTGTTGGCCTGTTGCTCTGCCCATAGTGACATAGCATGTCACGGGTGGTGTGAGAGCCAAAGCTTCATTTTAAGTTTTAGTTACTAGGCCTAAGAGACCCATGAAGCAAAAATACCCCTGATCGGCAAGCCGCTTGCCCAAGGACAGATACTTCCACGATGCTGGTGGCTATTGTTTATGGGACATAGCAAGCCATATGTGTTCATTCCCCTAACAAGTGTGTTTGACCCATTGGCACTGGATATGCTTTGTCACGCGTAGGCAGGAGGTTCACAGGCAGGGAATGTGTCAGGATGTACGCTTGCCCCTGTTTGGGCCTGATGAGCAATGGGGATTGTGGGTTTGGCATTCTTAAGCCCCTACAAAACTTGATTCGGGGACATTTTTCTTTTTTTTTGAAAAACTGGAGATGGACCTGGCTAGAGCCCATCTCCCTAGGCAGTGTTATTATTCGTGATGCACGGACCCTGGCAGGTCCCCTGGTGGGTGGGAGACCATGGCAGGTGAGAGACAGATAGATCTGCCATGCAGAGAGAGTGCTTGGGTACAGAGTTTATTTAGTGGGTATTGGAAAGGGTATAAGGTGGGGAGAGAGAAAGGAAGAGAGAGACATAGAAGGATAGAGAAAGAGAAGAAAGAGGAGGAAAGAGAAGAGAGATGCAGAGACCACCTTTTCAGAAGAAGGACAGACAGAGAAAGAAAGAGAGATGGAGAGGAGGCGCGGCTTATTTCTTAAAGGGACAGGGTACCCGGGTGACAGGGCAGGCCCACATTCCTACCTTTCTCTTATAATAAAAAGGTAAGGAGCTAGGCATGGCAGGTTAAGGAGATGAGGGGATTGGGTTCTCAAGACTGCTTCCTGCTTATTTGTGGGTGTCAGAGTCTTGGGGGACCTGAGAAAGCTGGGTGCTGGTCACATCCTGGAGTATCTGGTTGCTTCACTCCTATCCAGGATTTGTGGTGTGAAACTGTCTGGTGTCTCTTGGACCTGGTGAGGTGTTAGCAGAGCAGAAAACAAGGTTAAGTTTAGGAAGAAAAAAAATTTTTTTTTAGGTCCTGGTAATTGAGGAGGAGGCTATCAGGACCAGGGAATTAAGAGGGGGTATATCTGATCTGTTTAAGCTGAGTCCTTAAATTCAGCTCCCTAGAACTCACAAGAATTCTTTGAGTTTGTAAAACATAAGTTTTAGACACATACATTGTATAAACAGCAGTATATTTATGCCAGAATGATTGTGACAAATGTTTTTGCATAAATAAAAGTATCTTTAGAAAATGACCAAGAGAATTTAAAATCTTGATCTTGCAGTAGAGTCCTCTGCCAGAGTTAGAGTAATAGCTTATCAGCATTTTATTGATAATGTTAAAACTATGAAAGGCAGCGTGAGAAAGAAATTTGGTAACTTTCATTTGTTCTCAGACCTTTATAACTTACAGGTACACACCTTAATAACCCATATTTGCATATCTTAAACACCTTTTATTTAGAACATGTGAAATTTGTTTGGTGAGGTTGTCCTTTTTAAACTGGCAAAACCTCTCAGCTACCAAACTGCATCAGAGATCTTGGAGAAGGATAAAATTTCACATGAGTTATTGATTTAAAAATGACGGAGAACTCACTCGATTGGCTACCTTGAGCCACTCTCTTCAGGGTCCTCCATGGTCACTGAGGGCAGGGACTTTGAGGACTGTATTTGCCTTCTGTTGTTAGAAGCAGAGCCTGGCAGGTTTTAGAAGATCCTGTGGGTTAGGAAATCTGTAGGAAGACAAGCCTGCCTTGGCCTGAGCAGCTAAGCTGTCGATTCTACTTTTCCTTTATCCACTGTCTGGAGATTTTCAGTTTAGATGAAAGGCAGTTTTCCCCAGTGGTTAGCACTTTCACTTGATGAAGCTAATTGTGGATGGAGGTTGTTCTGTGCCCACCTGCCTTCTGTCTTCTTTGGAGGAAATAGGGTGCTGCTGCTAGGAACCAATCTGTCTCTCTGTTATGAAAAGCCCTTTATTTTTTTAAAATATTTATTTTACAATATTCTGTCTGTGTGTATGACTGCAGGCCAGAAGAGGTCACCAGACCTCATTACAGATGGTTGTGAGCCACCATGTAGTTGCTGGGAATTGAACTCAGGACCTTTGAAAGAGCAGGCAGTGCTCTTAACCACTGAGCCATCTCTCCAGCCCCTAAAGCCCTTTAATAATTAAACATTTAAATGCCATATTCCTCAGATCTCTGAACACTTGAGGGCTGTTTATCGGGTATAGATAAGTTATGACTATGATATAGGATCTGCCTGGAGAGCTGGATCCAGGCTTAACCGTACTGGCTTTTAACTTAACAGGAGAGATTTATATTTGTGAAAGACAAAGAAGAAAACACTGTTTGCAGTAGAAGCTTAGCAGTAAAACTGACAATAGTGGAAAAAGAGCTTACAGGAAAGGCTGTAGGTTAGCCTTTGTTAATCTGAAATAGATATTTATAACCTTAAATTTATCATTAGATAAAATATATTTTAAAGCAGAGTTGGATTACATATATGGTGTGTCGTAACAGATTTAAAAGTACATATCAATTTACAATATTTGAGACATTGCTTTCTTAGTCTGGAGTGAGATACAATGAACAGAGCTCATTAGGACTGGGACTACTTAAAACATTTTTTCAACAGTAAGTACATGTACAGATATACACAGTCAAATTTAGGTTTCATACACAAATACACAGAATTAAAGCTAACTTATATTCACACATAAAGTTAAATTAAAAGTCACATGCGTACACACACACATATATTAAACAGGAGTTGGGTGAGGTGGACGCTCTCATGGGCCTTACCAAAAGCATTCCACTGTGCAAAACACACACGTAACGGAGTCGGTGAGAGAGATGTAGAGACAAAAACACAAGTAAATGGTGAGACGAGGCAAGAAGTTCCTCAGCGAAGATGGTGACTTGGTTACCTGACCTGCCCTTAGTCAAGATGGCAGTGGGGTCATCAGACCTGCCCTCATTGCCCTTAGTTAAGATGCCGGTGGCCATGTGTTGCACAGAGAAACCATGTTTTCAGAAGGGGAAGTTGGGAGTGGGCAGGGCTTGTCTCTTTAAGGGACAGGGTACCCAGTGACAGGACAAACAAGCAGATTCATTACAACAGGCAGTATTTATTTAAAGGTTGCTTTAAATTTGGCTTTCAGTTGTGGTAGTGGTCTTGACTGGTAGGATTAACATCAAGTCACGCAGCAGATGAGGCCTGTTCACTGAATTGTAGCTGAGAAGCAAGGGTGAAGAGGAGCAAGATGGGGTTCTAAGGCTCCTAAGACCTCCTTTGAGGGTTGACACCACTCTCCCCTACAATGACCCCAATTTCTCCTACCAGGTCCTATCTCCTACAGGCTGCGACCAAACCAGTTCTTTGTGAGGCCACACCACATGCAAGTCTTTGTCTTCATCTTACCGACACAGGAAATTTCCAGCAGAGTCTTTCTCAGCTCTTGACAAGTTTAGCCTGAGGACTAGGGTCTACACAAACTTTTACAGTCACTAAAACCACCCGAAACAGTTTTAGCTTTGATGGGCAGAAGCTAGTGATCTTTTAGGTTACTAGATCCTAGGGGTTTCTATCTGTCAGTCACAAGATATGAATTTCAACACAGAGAAGGACAAGGAATAGCTATTCAGGGGAGTTACATAGGCAACTGGTCTCTTGGTTGGCCTGTGTTATGCCCTGACTGCAAAGTCCCCCCAAAACCAACTAGGAAACTGAGTCCCATACACAAAAGCAAAGGGGCTTTATTCTTATTCAAGTTCGAACTCAGACTCTCCGTGTGTCCAACATATTGGCA